ACTTTCTCCAGGAACGTACGTGGAGCGGTGGCTTCCGATACGCTTGCCAGCCTTCTGTGCAGCTTTTTGAGCGATCTCTTTCGCTACATATTCGGCATGCCTCTCGGTGATCTCCAACATGTCTCTGGCAACAAACGCCGTCGACATGTACTGCTTGATGTCCGGTCCCTGTTGTTTCTCTTCGGCAAGCTTACAAGATGCGCCGAAGGCATGTTGCATAGACCAGAGTCTGCCAAGAGCTGCATCCGAGCTTCCAACAAGGCCCTCGGTCTCTTCCCTCAGGCTCCAAGACCACGAAGAAGGCTGATCTGGCATGCATCGAGCGACTGGCTCTGTCCAGCCGATGCCGCGAGGGTCAAAGCCGATGATGTCGAAGTATCTTGCATCGGTAGATGGGGTGAGAGTCTCGACGTCAGAATCTATGATCTGCTGTAGCCCTCCTGCTAGGAAGAGCGCAACTGCTGTACCTGATCCTCCGGGACCGCCAGGGTTGAACAGAACCGGGCCACCATAGCGGGGATCATCCGCGGATACTTTGGCGGGTAGCTTGACGATAGCGATGCTCACAGTATGATCAGGGTAGGTCCCGTTGAAGTAGTCCAGTGGCAGGCTCAGTTTTGCGCATTCAAATTGGCCAAAGCATTTGTGGAATTCTAATTGCTCACTCGGTGTGATCTGAAGCTTGGTCAGTCTTGCATCCACCAGTCGATATTATGATGCTGAAGCACCCTCTTGGACTAATTTATAGAGAGCTGCGGTTCGCTTATTGTTGATACGGTGCTGGGACTTTGGCTAGAGCGACATGCTGGTGAGCCGGAATGGGATCTGGTCAGGCCACCAATCACAATCAGATTTTTCATTGAGCCTTTTGATGACGAAGGTCGTCTGTGGTGCTCCGGCATGCGCCCAAGACATCTCCCGGAAGTAGAGTAACCACCTGCTGTGCGACTTGGATCGGGGCTATCATTCGATCTGATAAGATGCGGGCCAGGGTGGCTGCAGAACCACGTGTGCGGTGCGACGCTCAGGGAACACTCTCTCAACATACCTCGGACCACTCAAAGGCAGCATCATGCAACGCAGGCTCAATGTCTAGAAATGAGGACAGATCCCAGTTCTTCAATTCAGGGAAGATGGTATCCACTGCCGCGAGGCACACGAGTGTGACGAAGGTCGCAGAAAGCAGTGCACGCCACCGCGTCGGGGTCCGTCCAGGCTTGACCGGCGCCGTCGCATCCTCCAGCCCGTTCCAACTCTTCATGATGTACCCGAAGTCGTTCCAGCCGGCTGAAGAACAAGCAAAATAAATGCGATGAAGTATTGGATATCCGCGAGTCGTTGAATAGTAGAAGACGGGTGTGGAGGGGTCGTCTGTCAGCGTGCATCCTCAGCCCAAGACATTCGACGTCGCATCCTGGCGCCTGACGCCAAAAGTGAAGATCACCTCAGGCAGCAGCAAAGCACTCGAGGATGCGGAAGTGTGTGCGCGAGGACTATACAAAACGCAGCACGGAGTGCGCCTGACTCCCCGCAGACAGCCCAGCTATCGCTTGCAGAAACCTGCCTTTCTACTCTGCGTTGGTGCTGCAGCTGCAGCAAGACTGGCCGGCGGCTATGTATGCAATATGCAGATGTGGTCACAATGCGCTGCCTTGGCTGCTGAATTTTCCAAGTGCAGAAAGCGAGACTAGTGCGTGCGATTAAGTAATGGGTTAGTTGCCGTCGAGATTATCCATGTGCTGGGTGGTGAGGAGAATTGGCATCGCCACGAACCTGCGTCTTGTGGAGGGACCCGTTAGAGACCGCAGAGCCTCATCGCAACAGCGGTAATGTGATCTCATTGATCCTCAGGAAGAAGGCATTGGTCTGGCTGTTGTACCCGTTTGCGAGGCGAATGTGAGTGAGCATGCTTGCTTTTGGAATGCGGTGTAATCTGCTTTTTGCTGACATGTCTCTTGGTAGAGTTCAAGGTTACATTGGAATGACACAGCTTTTGGGTAGGTAGCAAGCCACCATGACTACGAAGAGCCCGTAAAGAAAGTGCACAAAGAACAGGAACCCTCATAGCGCGACAAGTACAGAGTAGCAGCACCTCCTGATTCAATGGGTATCTCATCTCTCAGTACCAACCACCTCTACTGCCATTAAACATGATATGAAACGTCCATGTGAATGATGATGCTCATTCGAGGAGGAGCAGTGTCGGCTAACGTCCAAAAGATCTCCATCATGTAAAGCCAGCTCCAATCCCAGGAGCGTTCTTGCCCTCAACTAGAAAGTTCGTACCTTTGGTCATTCTGAGAGCACAGGACTGTAGGACGTGGGTCCGCCGAGGTGTTTACCATTGCTGGCCACCACCTTGGCCACCCTCTTGACCACCACCGTAACCGCCCTGGCCGCCGCCCTGACCGCCACCGTAGCCGCCGCGAGACTGGTATCCGCCGCCGCCGCCGCCTTGAGAAGGTCCCCAAGAGCCGCCGCCCTGGCCGCCGCCGCCGTAGCCTTTTCATCAAGTTAGTTTCTCACTGCGAATACACCGGTGACATGTGCTTACCACGGTCGCCGCCACCGTAGCCTGGGGAGATAGTCAGTATAGAACCGCGATGGGTAGGTGAGTGAAGCTTACCTCCTCCTTGACCACCGCCGTAACCTCCACGGTATCCGCCGCCACCGCCTCCGTAGCCGCCGCCGCGAGGAGCGCCACCGCCAGCGCGGTCGGAGGCCTTGTCGACGCGAATCCTACGTCCGTCGAATCTGGGGAAGTCAGCAGTGCCCACTGTTGGATGGTACGTGAAGGCAGAAGAGACGTACTCCTCGTTGTTCATGGCCTGCATAGCGGCATCGGCCTCGGTGTCCTGGGCATAGCGAACAAAGCCAAAGCCTCGGCTACGGCCAGTATCGCGGTCCTTAACCACGACCTGTGACGATGTGAGCATTGACTCGACCTTGGCGACGACACTCGTCGAGTAGCGTGTCACTTACGGCTTCTTCGACTTGACCGAACTCCTCGAACTTTTGACGGAGAGCTTGGTCGTCGGTGTGCCATGCGAGGCCTCTGTGAAGGGTCAGTCGCGGTCGCGGTATGGGAAGGCTGCGTACTTACCCAATGAAGAGCTTAGACATGATGAGAGTGATGTCTGGGTCGAACACTGAACGGTCTCAATACTAGCTCTCGCAACTCGAAACAAGGCGCGCGATACAAAGAAGCTCAAGACAGGTAGTGACAGGAGTTGTAGAGTGAAGGAAAAGTGCAGGAAGGCGAGGAATCCATCGCGGCTTCCCGGGCAGGCAGTATGTAGCAACGTGACGGAACGAACATTTGATCTTGTAGCACCAGGCTGTATTGGTGATGATGGCGCAAGCGATTGCTCTGAAGAGTTAGAGGAGGGAGAGTCGGCTGCAGGCTGTCGCAAGAAAGTGATGGCACAGGGTGAGGAGCAGAGATAGTGAAGCGTCTAGGTTGGCGGGGCAAGCGACGATATGAGTACCCCTCCACCAGGTGAAAGAGCGCTAGGCTGCAAGCAAGTAATAGGTTGCGCGCACGGACTGGAGGGCTGAGGGCCCGGTTTATAAAGCGACGTGGATGGCCACGAGCGACGGGGTGCAATGTGTCTCTCCAGCCAGTCGAGCCAGTCAAGCCAAGGGGTCTGGTAGTTCGGACCTGGGCTGCAGGCAGGCAAACGGAACTGGCCCCTCGCAGCTAGCCGGTCCCAATGCCTTGTCTAGGAGCCCGCACCTGACGATGGACAGGGTGCAGATACTGGTTCTGCCATACATGTCGGCTGGCTGGCTCCCTAGCCTGTCCCGTGTCTGTCTGTTCATGCTGGGTATATGCAGCCCACGTTAGCCTGAGACCGGGGAGGCCCAATTGCAGGGCCCTTGACGAGCCAGAGAAAACGATTTTTTTGATAGGTGCATCGATCCATCGTCCTGCTCAGAGTGCCGGCAGGAGTGCGGCGGCGTCATTGGGCCACTGCCAAATACGTGCATGGACAAGCCTGCGGATAGACAGATTGCGTGCTCGAGACAGCAGCGATCTGCGCCCGTGGCTACAGCAAGACTATCGGGCTGTGACGAAAAGGTCAATGGCGGACAGGTATTGGACAGACGATGGTGGTTCAAAGAAGCTTATCAGAGTCGCCATCCTTAGTCTGACGGTGTGGGGATCGGGTCTAACTAACTTCCAGGCCCTCCAGGGCTCTGCATCCCGAACTGGCTCGTGCGCGCGACGTCAAGATGTAGCAAGCTGAGCGTGCTTAATGAGACGACTGCTCGCACTTATACGACCGAAGTCCATTGCGCTGAGACAGGCCAGAATGTCCCATCAATCACATACTACACAGTCGTCACCATCGGATACAGAAAGCGGGCAAATCGGCAGTGTTTACCGAGATATACCGAGGCAGCGCGGACTGAACCGATCCATCTGTGTTCATTCTGCGTATCCCCAAGCAAGTCGGCGACGAGAAGCTATCGCAGCCATTTCCCTGCGATAGCGGCACAGCGCATGCGGCAGCACGATGCACGGTGCCAAGACGTCTCGCTCTCGGGGACCGATTCTATGGCAATACAATCCATCCAATGATATGAGCATCTTGCAGCCCGAATAGAAGTAAGGAGAGGGACAGACACGACAGACATGGCCTCGTTTCCACACCGTGAAGGTTGAAGGGTTGACGATGCACTGGCGTCATCAATGCATCGTGCCTTCCTCCAGCAATGCAGTGGCTTCGGCGATGCCGTCAGCTTCACAATGGCAGCAACCATTGCACCTGCCATCACTCTGTCTGCCTTCCTGCCTGACGTAGCCTATCAGGTAGCTGCAACATCCAGATGAGACTTTGTCACCTTGAACGTCTCCCAGATTACCGTCACACAAGCAACCGAGCGACTATCACGACGATCTGCTGTCTGGCCCCCTCGAGCATCTCAGACCCACCAGACTTGCGAGGCGAACCAGACTCCGTTAACGGCACGGCTCGTCTAGGATGCAGGACAGCATGGACATACGAAAGTGGCTAGACGAGACAGTGCAACCGGAAGCACCGCGCGAGCCCAATAACCTTCATCAGACCGCAGAGCCTGCTAAACGGAAGCGCCGCCGCAGATCAGACAGCTCCCTCCTCGATCCCCGTCCGCCTGCATCCTCTCCGCATAAGCCAGCGGAGGATAGTGCTGACGAGGCGCTCCAGGCGACATGCAGCGACAGCTCTAGCAGCAGTCGATATGCGCGCAAACCTCGTAGAAAGACGCGTCCAGAGCGGTATGAGCCACAGTATGAGCCAGGTCCCCATGCCCATCGCGATCGTAAGGACAAATCAAAGAAGTCGCGACGCAAGCCTCGACGCAAGAAGGGCGAGAAGGCACCTGGTGTTATGCAGACCTTCCAGGCAACGAACATATCTGGGGATCGGCTGACCGTAAGATGTCTATGCGGTCGCCTGGAACATATAGTATCGTGTTGACGATTGGACTAGTTGAAGCCACGGGAGCAGCTAGGCCTCTTCAACAAGGGACGGACATCTACTGCAATCAAGGGCCGCGGGTGTGAGTGATTCACTCCCCTTCCTACAGCCTGAATGACATCTTCCTGTACGTCTTCCCCGCATTACCCAGCTGACGTGTCGCAGTGCCCGATCTGGTATTCTCGGAGATGAAGTTCCTGCAGCAGCACAAAGACGAACCAGAGCCTGTCCCTCGAACCGATGCGTCCAAAAAGAAACGCAAGAAGGACAATGAACAGATGAAGGAAGGAGAGATCTCCGCTTTCTTTACCTCAGCGCGACCGGCATTAGTCGACAAGGACACAAACACTCTACCGCAGCTTCCTGTACCAAAAGCTAAGCGGCGTCGTCGTGATCAATCCTCGGTAGATGACACTGCTATCCCAACTGTTGAGGCTACAGGCCAAGCCTCGTATCTGGGTTTTGGAGGTAGAGGCCCTCGCCATGAAAGTAATAGCTACGTTTCCTGGTCAGAGTCAATTCGAGCGCCTAGCACGGCGCCAGCACGCCCTCACATATCTCACATACGTACCAGTTCGCGCGACCTAGACCTTCATGGTGAGTCCGAAGCCAGAAATGCAAATGAGAGTAATCGCTTCAAACTACCAGCCCGGCCTCCTCCAGTGACGAAGCAAAGAACAGATAGCACGCCTGTCGAGCGCTTCAGGGTTTCGTCCTTGGCTCCATCACATGGCAGAGCGTCGAGATCGCAGTCCTTTCCGCAGCACACTTCATCCCCGCGACGACCGAACCTCGTCGATCGATCTGCGAACGCACGCGCGGTTGACAATGTTCATTCGCCATCGTCAATGCCACCGTCTGCGCCCAAACATGCTATGGGCACGCATCGCACTCAGCTACCCAGCTCCTCGAAGAATAATCGATCAGACTCGGCTTCAGTCTCGGGGATGACTGCTCCGTCCGGGTATGGACAGGTGAACCCGCATAGCGAATACAGTCCTGCTGGAGAAGGAAGATTACCGACATCTTCTGACTTGGGGGTGGCTTTGCGGCATTGCAACGATACCTTCCACGAACGACGTCTGGCCACAGGGTCGCGGAGGAGACACACCGAGGAGACGCACCCATCGTATCCACAGTCGAACCTGCGGCACAGTACGAGAGACACTTATCGTGCGGCTCAGCAGGGTCCCACTGTACGCTTCGCGGATCAGTCTCATAATAGACCGGTGATGCCAAATTTTGCTGGCCCGAGCATCTACGAACAACAAGCACAGCGTCAGCGATCTCATATGCAATGGGATCGCGAAGAAGAACCTCTCGAAAGTTCCTACCATTTCGAGGAAGACTACCTAGATCAAGGGAATCAAATGGAATACGATGGCCGGATGGAGCATGATGATGAGGACTGGGGAGGGCTTTTAGAAGAGCCCCTCTCGTATAGCCTTGATGGTGATCCTGACATATACGGCGGTATCGAAGCACACCCCGGAACTGAGATTGAGCTGGTCCAGGATAAAAGACCAGAAAACGATACGGTGGCTCCTGGATTTTGGCGGCCGAATAAACTGTACTGATGTTGAGGTGGGTGGCTGGCTGGTAGCCACATAGCGCGTTAGCGGCAACTTTCTTTTTTCGTGATTAGAAGAGGTCTGAATGGCGAGACGTGAAGCCTGCAATTATCCCAAGAAGCTCAAATGATGAGGAAAGACATATGACTGCAATCTGATTCTCGGCAATTTGAAGAAGCTCAGAAATCGATAGCGACAAGCTGCCTCGGTGTCCGTGCATAAAAAGTTGGAGCTTCCGGTCTCCGCTCCCGTACCTTGCGGACGTTTTCTGATCCTCGGTCTGGGCTTCGCATGAGAGGAGAATCGGCTGCGCTTCCATCTGGTAGTTTACTAAACGGGTGCCATCTGCATGCTCATCCATCAATCGTTGTTGCGGCTCTGTCCCGCCCAGAGATTGATCACCCGGTCGAAGCTCCTCTTCCCTACCGCGACGGCTGTCCCATGCAGACAGTCGGCGGTGACGTTCGTCACAGTGGCGCCTTCCCAACACAGCTCCCCGCCTGCGAGCCCCACTAGTAGACCCCTCAACGACAAAATCAACTCTAGGGCTCGTCTACTTGCAGGCCATCTCAACTCCACAGCTTCTTCTTCCACAGCCATCCACACAGCTGCCACGAAGACCCCATCAACCATGTCTTACACCACCCGCAAGGTTGGCGCTGCCAACACCCTCGAGCACCGCGTCTACATCGAGAAGGACGGCCAGCTCGTCTCGCCATGGCACGACATCCCGCTCTACGCCAACGAGCAGCAGACCATCCTCAACATGGTTGTTGAGGTGCCCCGCTGGACCAACGCGAAGATGGAGGTGCGTCGGCCCCAATTGGCTGCGCCGTGGCCTGCGTACGGCTGCGCGAAACGAAAGACGCTGACTGTCGCCACAGATCTCCAAGGAGGAGCAGCTCAACCCCATCAAGCAGGACACCAAGAAGGGCAAGCTCCGCTTCGTGCGCAACTGCTTCCCCCACAAGGGCTACCTGTGGAACTACGGTGCCTTCCCTCAGGTACGCTGACGCGACCCCGATATCGGACAATACACCAATGCTGATGCTGTGCAGACTTGGGAGGACCCCAACGTTGTCCACCAGGAGACCAAGGCCAAGGGTGACAACGACCCATTGGACGTCTGCGAGATTGGCGAGCTTGTTGCCAAGCCCGGTGAGGTCATCCAGGTCAAGGTCCTCGGTGTCATGGCTCTGCTCGACGAGGGCGAGACCGACTGGAAGATCATGGTCATCAACGTCAACGACCCGTTGGCCCCCAAGCTCAACGACGTAGAGGACGTCGAGCGCCACCTGCCCGGCCTTCTCCGCGCCACAAACGAGTGGTTCCGTATCTACAAGATCCCAGACGGCAAGCCCGAGAACCAGTTCGCCTTCTCCGGCGAGTGCAAGAACAAGAAGTACGCCATGGACATTGTCCGCGAGTGTGCCGAGGCCTGGGAGAAGCTTGTCACTGGCAAGACCCCCAAGGACGAGATCAGCCTGTGAGTAGTGGCCAACCTACCCCGAATGATTTGTACTGACGAAGCTCTAGCACCAACACCACCGTCTCGCACTCTCCCGACCGCACCGATGCCAGCTCGCTCAACGTTCCCCAGGGCGAGAACAAGGCACCTGCCCCCATCGATGGCAGCATCGACAAGTGGTTCTACATCTCCGGTGCCCCGTCCAACTAGATATAACGGGAGCCGTGATGAGCACAAAAGTCTGGATATCATTGGAGCATGGGAATGACTGTAGATGATAGATAAACGTGCATGATTAACGCCGACCAACGACGGTATATGGACCCATGAGGAATATCATCAATGCCTCGTCTCAGCCCAACCCAGAATATTGCCGTGACGCCGACCGATGCTCTGTGTCTTGATACATATGTACATTCATGTGTTGTTGCTGAGCCCTTAATTGCCTGCCAACTCGTCTTTTCGAGCCAGTGACCGTGAATGTCTATCCACTTCTTCGACGACTTGTGTTATGCGCATGTTGCTGAGGTCGAGGTTCATCTCCTTGCCATCCTCTACGCGGATGTTAGCATTTGCTCGAGGTGCAGCGAAAGTGTACGTACTGAACTTGACGCCCAAACTGGCAGGCTCTTTGCTGTCTCGTGGCAGCATCTTGGACTCAATCTTCATGCCATCTGCACGTGCGTTCGGTGGTATTAACGAGAGGAAGAGGCGGGCGGGCTTGGAGCGCGGGGAGAAGGGATTGAAGGTAACGCGGACGTCGGTCAGGAATCTGGTGATCATTGCTGCGGTGGAGCACGGAGGAGTCGGCGATGCAGACTATGGCTTGTTAGAGGATACGCATGATGAACAGATGCGACTACTTACCAATAGGCGGTGATTCGGGAATGCGCTGCAATTGACGTCCTACGCTCGTCGCAACCTCTTCGCGATAAGTCCGTGCTCAAGATTCTCTGCGGGCCACGCTACAGCTAGCCATCCAAACACGTTGCGCTCTCACACCCCGCCAAACGGCCCACCGTAGCCATCTCCGTCATAGGCCATCTGCATACATCGACCAAACTCTCTCCGCATTCCGAGCCACCATGGCACCTCTCCCCTCCACCGCGCACACTCTCACCACCCGCCTAAGCGCCCTCTCCGAAGCCAACAAAGGCGTCGGCCAACTTATCCAACGACTAGCCAAGCTAGACTTCCAGCCAGGTTCGCAACCACTCGACAATTCCGACGAGGGCGACGTGAGGTTGGAACTCAGTGCCGAAATACACGAGACTCTGAAGGGCATAGAAGAGGAACTTGAACTTCTGAGGCAAGAAGTCGAGGACGTTACGTCACAAGGAGGCATTACAGGAAGAAGGCGGGATAGCAGCAAAGACAGCGAGAGGAGTAGACTTGCTGTACTACTTGCGAGATTGACCGAGGACTTGAAGTTGTGAGTGATGCACACTCTCCCTTGTCATTTCCTTCAGCATGGCATGCTAACCCTACGTCCCTGTAGATCGCGATCACAATATCGGAAAGCGCAACTCACAGCCAAGCACAACGCCGACCGCGCAAAGCTGAAAGAGCGCGAACTCCTCTTCTCCAACCTGCAATCAGGCTCCTCCACCCCATCTTCCACATATCGCCAGAGAAAGCAACAACAAGGGCTATCGGAAGGCGAAGTCGTCGCGCAGGCTTCTTCAGACGTCACATCTGCTCTGCGCCGGACAGCCCAGTTGATGAAAGACGAGCTATCGCGCTCACGATTCGCGCAAGAAACACTTGAACAGACCAACGCCGCATTACAAGATCTTGGGGAGCAGTACTCAGACTTAAACACCCTACTAGCCAACAGCAAGAACTTGGTTTCGACACTCCTGAAGAGCACAAAGAGCGACACGTGGTATCTTGAGACCACCTTCTACATCCTCATAACAACTATCATCTGGCTCGTTTTCCGCCGCTGGTTATACGGACCGCTCACCTGGTTTATCATCTGGCCAGTCAAACTCACCTTTCGCATCCTTTTCGCCGTCTTACCCTTCGGCGCCGCATCCTCAGCCGCATCCTCGAGCGTCGCGGTATCCTCGTCCTCAAGAACCCTCATCGTCCAGCCGAGTGCCACAGGTGGCATACCCCGACGTGAACCTAACGCCCAAGGACACTACATACCTGTCGGTCGCGGAGGCGGAGTGAATCGACAAGGTCAGGATCCTAGTCCACAAGGCTCATACTCGCAGCAAGTAGGCAAGATGGCGGAACAAAATCAACAACAGCAGCAGGAAGAAGTGCCTGATCACCCTCAGTTCAGACAACCGAGAAAGGATGAAGACGAAGGGCCGGTCACACTAGGCGACGGGACTGTATTACAGGAGAGCGATAAGCCGAGAAATCCAAAGAAGAAGATGTGGGAGGAGAATGTGGAAAGTGCGAAGCGTGATGAAGCGCAGGCGCAGGAAACACCGGCACAACAGGAAGGAAGTGGACAAAGGCGGAAGAGAGATGAGCTATGAGCTGCGACTTCGCAAGTGGGTACGTAGACGGGAAGATACCTATGATAATGACCATCATCATTACTTTATCACCACCATCATCGCTCTGCGTAACCTCCGTTTTTGGAGCATGTGGTGACCACGCGCTAGCAGCTCTGCACTATATAAACCGCTCTCTGTCTCGCATCTTGCTTCTCTTCTTTCAACAATTACCAAAAACTCTTCTACCCCCAAAAAGATATCATGGGCAGGGCATGACTCTGCTCTCAAAACGAAAACAAGAGTTCTACATGTGTGCGCTGCTGGCCGCGCCTTCCTCTCGATTCAATACCAACGCGAGAGCTTCCTATGACCGTGTCGGTCTATTCCTCGAAAAGTCCAAAATAATCTGGAAGATATATTCATGGTTACACTTGTACAGCGAAACTCCAAACTCGTGCTGATTCTGTTCATGTCTCGTCGAGTTGCCTGCTGAGTGTTACCAAAACTTCGAACATCATTTGCAATGACATGTTCCTCATTTCCCGAAATGAAGATATACTCTGGCTATGTCACAAAACTATACCAGCATTTACGCATGTCTCTGTTCTGGGTGTGTTCTAGAAACAAGTTAGCAATATGCATGTTGGCTTTGCTCGTCTTCTCGAAACGGGCAACGGAACCCAGCATGTTCGTCCTCCTGGCCAGAAAGATACGTAAAAGGATGCCATGTGTTTGCCGTCTTTTTGTCAGAAACTACCGCCCCAGCATTTCATGCTGTCTGGCTCGAGTTCCTGAGCCTAGCGATGGTATAAAAGCTACGGCTGTTGGTATGGAGCTTCTTCCTTCTAACTATCTTCTCCAGAGCCTTTACTCCTAAAACATGCAAGGCTGGGACCCATGAGTTTTTCCAAAGCTTTCCGCAAGTTGGGCCATGTGCGTCTTTGCGCCTCTGCTTTCAACTTCAAAACATCTGTTGTTCTGTCTGCTTCCATCAAAAGATCAAGGTCGCTCTTGCATGAGTCTTCCCTCTGCTGTCTCAAAACTATATAAACTTGAACACATGGAGCTGTCAAATCTCCCTTAGGATTTACAGAAGTCGCAAACCTCGTGCATCCTCCATTGGTCTCATTCCTTCACTCACACTATTATCAAAAATTTAGAAAATGGTCTCGTGTCCGCAGACTGAAAACCCCAATAAGCTCACGAATGTTCCTATCTCGGCTGTTGCTCCTAAAAGCTGCCTACATCCGCATCACAAAAGGCCGCGGGTGTATTCAGAACAAAGGAATATCAGTACATGCATCTCTTCTCTCCCCATCTCCAAAAGATCGCAAATTACAGGCGTCGCGCCTCGCTGCAGAATGATGGATGCTGTGTCAACATGCCAGCGAAAAAGTCCGAACTCGACCAGCATGTTTCGACAGAAAGACTGTTCAGTCCCATTACTCAAAAGGCACTTTCAGTAAGCGGATGATTGTTTCTTTGTTAGCCGCGGACATATAAAGCAGACTGTATGAGCACTTCGATGCTTCCTTGTGTCCAGATAAACTTCATATCGACCCTTCTAAAAGGATGCTGTGCAGTCATGTATGTCGTCCAGAGTGTAGAGGCCACACGCGAAGTTGTTCGTGCGGCCTACGCCCACTCACGTCAACTTGGGAAAAATCCGAACAGGTTTGCAGCCTGCATCAACATAAACACATGTAAACTAAGTGACCCAACGTCTATGTAGGCTCTAGGCCCGTGCAGTTAATTCTCGTATAAGGTGCACTCGTAATAGTTTCAACGCGCTTGGCATCTGCATGAAGGCGGCACGGCTGCATACCTACCTAGGAAGTACATATAATGGTCTGGCTTCTCTTGTCAACTAAGCTGATTACTGCCACCTAAATCTCATCCGCCACAATGGAGCCAATCTACTCGCGCGATGAGTGCATCGCCACGATTCGCGACTTCTACGACTTCTTAGGAAAGATGTTCATGGATGTGCCCGCGTCCATCATCTACCCACCTCCCGGCGGTTGGCCCAACATGACTCCCGAAGTCGCGGATCGTCTAGGCAAGGATCCAGAAGTCATAAATCTGCTACGCCATCTGCCGTTTCCTGATGACCAGCCTTACACAGCACGGCCGCACTGTTTGCCAGGCACCCGGTTCCACGCCTGGACGAAGGCAGTGGACGAGCTGAAGGAGCAGGAGGACGCAGAGAGAGAGGATCTACTAATCGAGACGGAGAGCCATGAAGACCAGTTCGGCGGCATGATTCCCAAATACTGCATCGGTCTTACGTACGCTCTCAACATCAGCGAATATGTGATGCTGTTGGACGTCAGAACTGGGCTGGTATATTGGATGGACTGCCCGGAGGAGATTATCAAGGCGTGCGATCCTCAGCCATCACGTCTGGTGTATCCTTTGGAGGGGGAAGTAAAGGAGGAACAAGACAGAAGCGTCGTTGTTGTACAGGAGGAAGAGGATGATGTCGAAGCTTCAGACGACAACAGCGAAAACGAAACGCCTCCGACATCCGACGACGGTAGTGCCGACGAGAACGATGGGTCTGTTGATTTCGAGGACGACGATGATGATGACGATGACGCGATGGACGTGGAGTGGGGACCCTGCTGGCCGGTCCGCCACTTCTTCGCCATGTTGAAGAATCACTATATAAAGCTGAACTTCATCCCGCATAGCAGTCATCGCGTCATTCAAATCTGGACGAAGCGATACACTGACCACGACCGAATTCCTGAAGGTTTTGCAGAGTTTTTACAGTCCATATATCACAAACATGGATGGCCTGATCTGGAAGTCTATCAGAAAGCAGCATGTATGGCAGAGCTCGAGAAAGCGATGGAAACAGAAGGTACCAAATATTACAATCTCGATCAGTACTTCCAGAATCGCGAATACTAGAAGAAGAGTTCGGGATCGAATAACGGATCGAACGCGGTGTGACATGCACCATTGGTACGCAATGCCGGATAAATAACCTACTGCGGTTCCTTCGGGCGATGTGCATCGTTTCTCTCTCTTCTTCAAAGCCACTGCCTAACCCTGCATGTCTAATGGAACCCTTAACCTAAATCAATGAAAGTAACTCACGTTGTGGCTGTGAGTGGCCGTGCAGCTGTCAGAAACTCATAGGCAGCATATATCTGCACCGTTATATGAGAATGTGATTGCGTGATCCGGAAAACCACTGCCACTGCCACAACAGTACGGATCTTCAGCTACTGTCTCTTGCAGTGGATCCAATGCCCTTGAACGACTACACCAGTATCGACTGAACTACTCAACCAGATCGTATTCCCCGGTAATCTTCAATCTCGACCATGAATGCCCTAAAGTACATTAGAAAGCTTTTTGATGAATCCGACATTGGAAACACATACCGCAACCCTGAAAAACATACCGACAACTCGTTACGCCTACTAGACGATGGGTTACTGGACACCACACCCCGCGACGAGACGCTGAAGGTGTAGGTGAAGCCTCGATAACAATCCTCGGCTCGGATAGAGAAACAGACTCGCATTGCACCGACAGTATCCACTAACACATCATAGAACAACCCAAAACCAACAAACCTCCCCCTTCCTCCGTCTCCCCGCCGAACTCAGAAATCACGTATACGAAATCCTATTCGGCCACCGATCAATCCACCTCAAAGACCGTACACCTTCGAAATACCACCAGATCCCCCGACCCTGCGTCACGCACATCCGCCCCACTCATCCCGACAACGATGTATACGGCCCCGGTATCGAAAACGACCACACGCGTCATCCGGGTAAACAAACACATACATTCTCCTTACTTTTCGTAAGCCGCCAGATCTACGAAGAAACCCGCTACCTCCCCTTCAGCCTCAACACATTCAGGTACGACGAACTACTCGGGCGACAGACCTGGCTCCGCTCGCTGGCATCCCGACTCGCTGTCGTGCGGAAAGTGCGTCTTCATGTTGAAGAGGATTGGGGTTTAAACCGTGGATTGAAGGAAGGTCTGACCAACGGACTGGAGTTCTTCCCAAGTCTCGATAGTCTGGAGCTGATTTGCGGGCATAACCGGTACAAGGCAGGTGGGTTTGACAAGATACTCAGATTGGCGAAGAAGACGAAGCGGGATGTGGAGGCGCTAGTCGGCTCCGAGGTCAAATTGAGGATTTATATCAGGAAGGTTTGGAACATTCGCGAGTACGATCTTTTTGATTTTTATACCTCTTTTCCCTTGAGGCTTTGAGCGTTGCGACCTATTTTGGTCGGATTGGAGTGACGGATTGCAGACATCATGCTCATAGCTGGCATGTTGACATGGGTCTGGTGTAGGATATGAACGGAGGAAGCTTGGTGAAGCTTGAGAAGCTTCGCGTTGAAGAGCCAGATCTTAGTCATCCATCATTCCCAACAGGGAAGGTACATAACACGAAGACTTCGTCATAATAAAGCCCACCCAAAAGACATTTGACTCTCTTACCATCTCAGCTGTGATCCTCGTTTGCGACAGTACCATCTCATCCCTTCCTGCTGGAAAAGCCGAGTATGCAAGTCCACGAGCACCCCGCCTCATCCCCCATCTTACGGCGGGCCCTGAAAACCGCCCTACCCTACAGTGTCAACCTGGTCTACAGAATCCAGCACCCAAACCGAACCGAACACGCCCACATACTCGCCACATTCTCACCGTCAGCCACAGAGATCCCAGAATGCTGGGTAGCAGCGTACCTCGACCGCTCCATGCGCCCAGAGACCGAACTTTGGATGTTTAGTAATGCAGAACAGCCACATCACTCGAATGCAACACCAGAGTTTCGTCAAGAGAGCAAGAAGGCGATATTGGCATTACTAGAATATATGGCTACACTTCCTACTCCACCAATGCGTTCCGATAATCTACCTGCTCTGGACCTGGCAAAGCAACACGAGAAAGACTACCCAACCCCACCAGCATCTGGCGCATACGGATCATCCCCGGGGACATACATGCGACATCTCCTCATGCCCAAAGTTGTTACGCTAGGGGCGTGCCATCGCGACGTGGTTGAGATACTCCGCGAAGCAGGAGTCTTACGCACCGAACTTCCAGGCCCTGATGCCGAGCTGAACAAGTTCTTGTTCAAGCTTTCTGATCTTCCAGAGACGCGAGAGCTACCCAAGGGATTACGGTGGGGTGAAATGCGCGAGCAGGATATCGATGTCGTCAAAGCCAGGACGTCTATTCCAAGGACGACAAAGACACTCATATCACTAAAGAGTGTGGGTGTTTTTGAAGAAGAGACAGACACAGCAGTAGCGTGGACATTCCTCGGTTTAGACGGTTCTCTTGTTACGCTACATACAGAAGAAGCATATCGAGGAAAGGGAATAGCAAAGGCCGTTGCAGCGAAGCTGTTTCGACAGTATGCCCCAGGGTTAGCAGTAGACGACGACGGGAATGCATGGTCACACGCGGACGTATACTTGGGCAATGCGCAAAGTGAAAGCGTTTGTCGAAGCTTAGGAGGAAAGCCGCTCTGGAGGTGCTTTTGGGTGCGGATAGACCTAGAAAGGGCGGGTCATCCTGCAAAGGCTGTCTGAGCTGCATTCAGATGGTGCGCATCACCTCTTCACAGCATATTGAGGTGCACAGGCTAGTGGTATATCTGTTGGAGAGTCAGTCTCGAGCCTTGCCATGGTAACGAACGAGTGACTTGAAAGACAGGTTGCTCATTAAAAAATTAGAGTGTTGTTGTTGTATTTTGATCCTCACCGAGGAATCTCAGGGTTAAAAAGAAAATAATCATAGCAGCGCGAGATGAGAAGGGGATAGGCTTACCTGAGATTGTACTGACGCAGATGCTTTGTGAGCATCACGGCATGGTGTCTGAATGAGTTCATCTGATCGTATTGTCGTTGACTGTCTATATCATGAAGACATGCTTCGACAGACCGTAGTCATGCCGATATCTCTCAAGAAATGTCATCGCAAACGTGAGTAGCTTAGTCGAAGAGACCGAAGCCCATGTCGTCATCCTCAGACTCCTCCTTCTCCTCTTCCTTGGCCTCCTCCTTAGCGGCAGGGGCGTCACCACCACCGGAGGTAGCACCGACGGCAGGGCCAGCGGAGGCGTACTTGTCGGGGTTGGCGATGCGGTCCTTGAGCTCGGCGATCTCCTCCCACTCGTAGTCGGTCTCAATGGCGACAGAGATGACCTTCTTGTAGGAGTTGACAACGGAGTGCATGACGGAGGGCAGGGTGGGGAAGCCAGAGGCCAGAGAGATGGCGGCAATGGTGCTGATGGCAGAGGAGAAAGCCTTGAGCAGCTGGGACTCCTCAATGTCCAGGACGGAAGCCTCGAAGGTCTGGCCGTTGTCGTAGATCTGGTAGATACCCATACCGTAGGTGAAGGGCGAGATGTTCAACAAGTTGAGCAGGGTAGCCTCGGAGGCACCGACCTTGTTACCGGCCTCGATGAGCTTCAAGTCGGAGGTAATTTCGATGGTACCACGGGCAATCTTGGTGGGGACACCGAGAGCCTGGAAGAAAGAGGTCTTTCCGGGTTCCATACCACTGCCATGTGTCAGTTATTTGTATGATGTGTGCGCAAGACGTGTTCTTACGTGTTTCCGGCGGGAATGTAGACATCGCCGGGGGCGACGGCACCGGCACGAGCGGGAGCAGCGACACGGTTGGCGAGGATCTTGTCACGGGTCTCCTTGAGGTCGGCGTTGGTGAAGACGAAACCGACGTTGCCTGTACTAGTGTCAATGCTGTGCGCGAGCGTCGCGTGAGTTGGAAGACGTACCCTTGACGTGGGGAAGGAGACGCTCGTACTCGGGAGAGTCGTTGATGAGACCCTTCAGAGCACGGCGGACCATGGTGTTCTTTCCCATGAGAACGACACCTTCGCCGCGGAGCGACTGGCGGATCTCGTGCATCTGCTGGGACGAGACATTGTCGACGGTGACGATGAAGATGCTCTTGTACTCCTTGAGGAGCTGCTCGAGCTTCTCGAAGTAAGCGGCCTTGGTTTCTTTCTTGCCCCCCATTGTGTTCTGCGACCCAAAGGGATGTTTAAGGTCTTAGTTTGGTGTTGTTGATGGTTTGAGGAAGAGAGGGAAAGTTCGGCCGGCGAAAATCGAGGTTGTCTGCTGTGGGTGGCCCCTGCTCGCCTAACGCGCTAGCGCATTTGGGGCCTCACAGAAAAGTACCATCAACTCCACGAGGCAGTGTCCAACGCAGACATCATGACTGTTCCGTACCAGTGCATTGTAGCGCGAAGCTCCGAGTCTTCAGATGACTGGACTGTGTTTGCTGCGAGCGGCTCCAAGATTGTAGTTCAATCCAGCCGCGGGTCAGTGACGACATGGCCACAGCAAGACGCCCAAATCGAAGTGAGTGATGGCGTACTTATTGTGATTTGTTAATGTTGTGGCGTTGGATTGGTGGTCAAAGTCGTTGCGCATCGCTAATATGAGCAGGATCAGCAGGAGGGCGACTCCGAAGAGCGACCAGGAAAACGCATCAAATTGGAACAACCGAAAGAGCAAAAGTCGAATTTCGCCAGTCTCATCCTCTCAAACGATGGACAATACTTGGTTGGCATCACTGGCGAAGATAAATGTGTTCGCGTCTTTCAGATCGATGCTCAGAGCCAGCTGCACCAGTTGAGTGAGAGGTAAGAGGCGCACGGTATTGAGAGTTTCGAAAATTGACATGATCAAGGTGCATGTCAAGACGGCCTTGCTCAATCACTCTCACGTCTGACGATGCAACCATATTGTGTGCAGACAAGTTTGGCGATGTCTATGCATTACCGCTTCTCCCTTCGCCTGACGACGACAAGGAAGAAGAGTTGCCCGAGGCACCAGCAACTGAAGAGGCCGATGAGAAAGAATGGATCCCCTCCGCTACTACTCTCACCGTTCACTCTGGGAGGAATCGAAAGACTCTCGAAGAGCAGCTGAAACGGAAAGCGAAAGGCCCGGCGAAGCCCAAGGAGACTATGCGATTCAAGCACGAGCTGCTCCTAGGCCACGTTTCCATGCTCACAGATGTCGTCTATGCTCAGGTAGACAGACGGGGCTATATCATGACAGCAGACCGGGACGAGCACATCAGAATATCACGAGGCCCACCGCAAGCACACGTCATAGAGGGATTCTGCTTCGGCCACGAAGCGTTTGTGAGCAGGCTTTGCCTCACACAGTCTGGCCTACTTGTGTCTGGCGGTGGCGACGATCACTTGTTTGTATGGGACTGGCAGAACTACCTCTTGAAGGAAAAGTTGGCCATCCGTGATCTTGCCTTCACTCATCTCCAGGAGCGTGGCATGATCCCAGCAGGAGTAAATGTGGCAACGTACAAGGTTGCCGTTTCTGGAATATGGAATTTACCAAGCAAGGACGGTGTAAGTATTATGAAGATTTTGACTTTGTTTATCCATCCTCTGACTCTTTATAGGCCGAGGTAGTAGTTGTAGCATGTGAGGGAGTACCAGCGTTGTTCAGCTTCGGACTAGGTGCATCCATACCAGGCTATGCCGTTCCACTGGACGGCAACGCACTGGACCTTGCCATCATCCGCACGTCTACTGGTCCTTTCAAGTTGGCTGTGTCGATAGACAACATCCAGAAGCCAGGCTCAACCACCGAAGTTCGGGAAGACACGGTAAGCTTCCTCAGAAGCATCTCTTGGATGATAGCTAACATGTCGAACAGGCACCAAGACTGCAATACTTCGCAAGACAACAAGACGGTACATGGCACGCTGATGCAGAGCTCGCAGAGACATTGAAGAGTTTCGAGCAAAGCGGTGACGACCGACTTGCAGATGACAAAGCAGTCCGGGATATGCTCTACAATGTGGAGAACCTCAGGAAGCGTCCAGGCGCGGAGGATTAGATAGCAGCGTTAGACGCCCACAATGGACTCGTAGTGCTCACTCCCAAGCGCGGGGCCGATATACAAAGACAGAAAGTGAAGCGCGACGCGTGCGACTCCAGAACGTGCATGAACTGTAATCATCCTAACAGTCGCCCCCAGACTACGCCTCAGCACCGGACGAAGTCGCGACATTTCGGACGGGGCTCCTGGTGAACTTTGCCGAGGCTTGTGATACAGAAGTCGCCTTGAGTCAAGCATGTCAGCACCGGACATTAAACGCGAGATGGGCAAGATGGGTGGGCTGCGTGGAACGTGGGTCTAGTACAGGTCGATTTCTAAGAATGACAGCCCGGCCGGCGATGGCGTAGATCGACAGCAAGCAGCCGACTTTTTTCTTTCCAAGCAGAAATCTCCCAACGTCTGACATGTGTTGCATTTGCAAATAAGGTGTGCTTGCTCTCTTCCTTACTACCTCCAGACGTGCTGCCCTCATTTTGATACCGCATTGCATATATATTGACTGCGACCCATAGTTGAGCACGATCTGCATCTTGAAAACCCCACCACGCCTCGGCTCGCCGTCATCCCCCAAATATCGCGGAACCTCCGAAGCTAGAAGACGACGCCCACTAATCGCAAACCCGCTGCGGCAACGTCAAAAGCGTTTTTCCAGCTCCTTCTCCGTCACTTAGTCCCTCTCACATAAGGCACCATCTGCACCGCCCGTACCCCGTTGTTAAGTCTCGACATCGCATCCCACCCTCCACACACGACCCACACGCCCGCAACCACATCTTGCACGCGACACGCGAAACTTTCGCACACGCCGCCAAAGTGTTCGCATCAATCTTCCGAAGGGCCTCCTCCCCCCGCAACCTATCCTTATTCTCCGTCCCCATCGCTGCCGCGGCATCGCATAATCAGCGCGTCTCACCTGTAGCGGGGCTTTCGACTGCTTCAACCTTTGCAAAAGTACAGTCGCGAAACATGCATTCAAAACTAGTCAGTAAGTGGCATCCTGGAAAATCCTGGCATGAATAATGCTAACAACATGCAGTTATTGGGTATGTTCTGCGATCAATGGCGCGACAGAGTCGATTTCGAGAATAATGCTAATAAACACAGCTCGGGGCCAGCAGGCCACACCGCAGCTATCTATGCCGCACGAGCGGACCTGAACCGTAAGACACCGCGTCGCCATCACGTCGACGACATGCTAATCGCTTGTAGCCGTCATGTACGAGGGTTTCATGGCTCTCGGCATCGCCGCAGGTGGTCAATTGACCACAACAGACGAAGTCGAGAACTTCCCCGGTTTCGTCAAGATCGGAGGCGGCAAGCTCATGGTCAGTAACAGCACGCGATGGTTATGCGCCAACTGGTACTAACAGCATACAGGAGCAAATGCGCGAACAATCCGAAGCCTGCGGCACCGAAATCATCTCCCAGACCGTCGCAAAGGTCGACCTGAAAGCGCGCCCCTTCAAGTACTGGTTACACCCCATGGGCGACGAGGAGGAGATTGAGGAGGAGATACACACTGCTGATGCTTTGATCATCGCGACCGGCGCAAAGGCCAGGAGATTAGATCTCAAGGGCGAAGATAAGTACTGGGGCAACGGTGTCTCCGCATGCGCTGTATGCGACGGTTCCCTTCCCATGTTCCGTGACCAGCCATTGGTCGTAATCGGAGGCGGTGACTCGGCAGTAGAGGAGGCTCTATACCTCACGAAGAAGGCGTCAAAGGTTACCGTACTCGTACGAAGGGACCAGCTCCGCGCGAGCCGAACGAACGCCCGCCGGTTGACAACGCACCCCAAGATCGAGATCATGTACAACACCAGCGCGAGCGAGATCAAGGGCGAGGACAAGAAGAACGGTCTGATGACACAACTAGTGGTCAAGAACAACGTCACAAAGGAGGAGCAGACCCTCGACGCAAAGGGTCTCTTCTACGCCGTCGGCCACGACCCCGCTACCGAGCTCTTTAAGGGTCAGCTCGACATGGACGAGGACGGTTACCTGATCACCAAGCCCGGAGAGGGTCTCACAAGCGTCGAGGGCGTCTTCGCGGCTGGTGACGTCCAGGACAAGCGGTACCGCCAGGCCATCACCAGTGCAGGATCCGGCTGTGTTGCCGCTCTCGAGGCGGAGAAGTGGCTCGCCGAGCAAGACGACAGCGTCGGCAACGAGCTCGAGACGGAGAACCAGGCTGAGAAGTCGCAAACAAACGGCGTCGTCCCCGAGTACCGCTCCAACCCTCTTCTATAGACGAAACACGCACCACAACATCACCATCACAAACTTGGACCATATTTGGACCATTTCTGGAATAACTCGCATGAAAGGGCATGGGCGTCTCATTGTTTAGCGCATACATGGAAGGCACGGGCACCATGTATAGACCTTCGGCAAAAGGCGGTGCATTTGATATAGAATCTTGAGCGGTTGATTTAGGGTTTTAGATAGAGCAGACACCTGGCAATGAATGTCTTTCAACTGATGTATATCGATCTGGTTCCGTTCAATGCGACTGATCCTTCTCAACATGGCCACTTCGGTACTGACGGCATCCTACATGACGGAACAGCGCATCAGGTGCATCCTTGATGAAGTGCACATTGAAAGGCTAGACAACCGCACCAATTGCCGCGGGGTTGGCGACGAGCTATCAGGGCCAGCGAGACGCTGTGAGACTTCCGATTGCGGCGGATGATGAGCAAGGTAGATAGCGCCTAGGTTGATGAGCATCAACGACCGAGGCCACTGGCTTTGAGGAGGTTGAGCGCACTCTCGAAGGCTTTGACTACATTGATGTCTGCGGCATGTTAGTCAAAAAGCATGAAATGAAGTAAAGGCTAGCATACAATGATTCCGCTTTTGCTCCAATTCCGCTTCCTCGTGCTGAACATATGTCGAGCGGGTGCGAAGTCTGGGGCACGTCGTTAGTAGGTCCCGCGACTTGTAGAATGCATGTTTACCTTGCGTAGGTCCGCTCGGTCTCGTGCTCATTCCCTGACGAGGCCCAGATGCGGAAGTACTAACAACTTCATCAGTAACTCGGGCAGAAGTAGCGAAGAGGCAGCTGTACATTCATGAGATTGTCCCACTCTTGCATTAGTAGGTCCTCTTGGTTGTGGCATGTCTTCATGGCATCGTGGTACCGCGCCTCTAGGTCTTTCCAATCAAAATCGACAATTTTTTCTGCGGGGTCACTCTCTTCATCTTCTGACTGTTGCTCAGCGGCCGCATTTGCTTCGTCGTCGACCTCGTCTTTTGTGCGCTGTGCTGAAGATGGCCGCTCTGTTTCATCTGAATGCATGCGTCTCATTGGCGGTCGTACAGTCTGAGCCTCTTGACTGGGTGGCGGCTCTGATTTGGCAGCCGGGGCAGTATCCATTGCGGTGGTATTTGTCAACTGGGTCAGTAGTGGAGGAGAAGAGGGGTATGTCGACGAGATGTGAGAGGGGAGGGATGATTCGGGTTCGTGGTCCGGAGTCCTGCTCATTTGCGATGCCTTTGGTCAGTGCTGTAGGTAAGTAGAGTGATCGCGAGCGCGTCTCATCGTCATCAGAAAGACATTCGACGCGAAATATCAGTTCTATCAGATCGATCGCAGTACTCGAAAAGGTAGATTGAGGTTCACTCACACATACCACGTGCGTTAGCGCGATCCGAATTGGTCAGTCGCGGCATGACGTTGGAAGGAGCGTCTGACTCGCGAATTCGCGCCTCTGCCTGAGTACCGCCTCCATCACACAACCTCTTCAACCACCAGCCTCTGGATGCCTTGCTTATGCTTCACGACAGAGGAGAGCGCTAACACTCACGGAGCCTAGACATTCACCGAAAATCCCACTGACGGATCCCATGGCTACATAGGCACTCGCCAACCGCCTCGACGAATCACTACCACCATGGTCTCGCTGCACCTTCCAGACCTACCACTCCACGGCATTTCTGCAGGCGACATCACATAACATAACCTCTACTCATCATGGAGTGCGACATCTGCGGGAGAGACGGCAGTCTGAGCCAGCCTCTCCACTGCATGACCTGCGCGCGCTCATACCTCGAACAGCCCCGCATCCAACTCGCAAAGACGCTGATAGACCGCGATGCCGTCGCGAAACACGTCACAGCTATCATAAACGGCTCGGAAGACAAGGCCATCCAGCATGTTTCTCTCACCGACTCGAAAGGCGGGCTCTTGGTCGACAGGCAAGAGTGTACGAACAATCTTAACTGGGAGCGGACGAAAGCAGAAACGGCAGAGATACAGGACCGACTAGGCATGATATCGGAGCATGCCGACCAGCTCCGACGGCAGATGGAGGATACCAGGAAGCAGCTTGAAGCGAAGCGAGCGGCGAACGCGCAACGCAAGTCAGACCTCTCGTCCGCCACATACGGCATCGAATCGCGGCGGGCGAACGAGTTGGACAAGGTGCAGCAGAGGGTCAAGCGGTCGGACTACAACGCGGACAAGATGCACCACGATACCATAGATCTGCGCATGCAGCTGTGCACGACTGCTGCGAGGCTCGCGGGACTTAAGATGCAGCGGCGAAAGACAAGGGACGGCGGTATCAAAGAAGTCTACAATATTGGGCCTGGCACGCGTTTGCGGATATACGATCTTCGAGATCTGAATGGTATGTCTTAAACCGCACCTGTCGAGTTGATATGCTAACTTTGAAACAGATGTGACGCCTGATGGCCTATCTGCCTCACTGGCTGCCGTGGCCCAGCTCGTCGTTCGAGTCGCTGCCTACCTGGGCATCCGCCTTCCAGCCGAAATCACACTCCCCCACGCCGATTATCCCCAACCTACAATCTTCAGTCCGGCATCCTCTTACCAGGGCAAGAAAGTACCTTTCCCTGGCTCGACACCCTCACATTCGTCCAGCGCCAGTCCGGAAGCGTCCCGAACGCTTGAGACGCGTATCCATCTTCCGAAGCCGCGCGCGTTATTCGTCGACCGCCCTTTGAGTCACCTCTGCGCCGAAGATCCTCCTGCATACTCGTCCTTTATTGAAGGCGTGTCTCTGCTTGCGTACAATGTGGCTTGGCTATGTCGAACCCAGGGCATGAAAGACAGCTTCAAACAGTGGGAGGATACTTGTTCGATCGGTCGCAATCTGTTCCGACTACTGATCACGCAAGAAACATACAATCCACAACGCCTCGAGAATCCAATGGACAAAGATATCACCACTTCCAGGTCTTCCAGATCGATCCTCCGCAAGTCACCCGTAGGCTTTGGGCAGCTTTCACACGCTACTTCACATTCCTTCCTAGGCATGGCCGAGAACGCACAGTACATCAGCGGATGGGGCTTGTCGCCAACTAAGATTATCGACGAGCTGAGGGGATATCTGTTGGCTGAGCAGCAGGCGCAAGAATGGGACGTGTTGAACCAGAAAGAATGGGAAGACATGGAGAACTTGATCGCGGAAGACCCTATCCTTGTTGGTGAGAAACGGCGAGGTAACACCGGCCTCGACGATGGGCGTAGCTACCTCACGTCGACTACGAGGAACGGAAAGTCGTCACCATCACAGACGGGACATATCTCCCATAGCGAGCAGACAGCGCGAAAGAAAGGTATAAGTGGATATGTGAAGCTTAAGAGCCGGCCAGAGGAGGATGCATACTAAGCATCACCATTATACCCCCAAGATACCCATAGACGTTTGCGCCCTTCATAGACCTCTCTCCACTTCAATCAGATTACGATGCAAATCACTTGCCATTGAGCGCCAACGTCAAATTGTGCTTACGTATCCAAAAACTCTATAAAGCATCTCGCCCGAACAACCTGCTGGACTTGGTAGCACTCGCAGCGCGATGTGTAATCGAAAAGCTGCCAAGGCCGTCACAAGGCGGGTCGGAGAATACTATGACACCATCTCCGCTTGCTCACGAAACCAACGCGCGCTTTGGGCCGAGCTGTGTATGCCACGGTTTGAGCAAACGCCGCCTGATTAATCTGCTGCTGAGAAATGTCAGACGTCCAACGCGGCCTGTTGGGTATAAGATGGCAGGAGCCATGAAGATGGTTCTCCTTTGCTTTCCATCTCCACTTTGACAGGAAATTCTGCAAGAAAGAATTATTCTGCATTCGCGCCATCACGGTCAACCGCACATGCACCACCGATAGAAAGCGCGCTAGGATTTGTCGCTAGAACAATAATTTACCTATAGGCGTCAACACCTCGGAGGGCCTGAAATTCAGATAGAAGTTTGTGCTCTCGCTGCATTTCGAGGTTCAAGTTCCTTCGTACCACCACGTCAACTCCGCCCGCCGTTCAAAGAGTACTCAGAAGATCAAGATGACGCTCCCCGACCACCCTATCGACACCCCGCCACGCGCGCCGTCACCAGTCCACGGATTCGGCACCCTCGCCGTGCATGCCGGAAGCCCTCATGACCCCGTCACCGGAGCTGTCATTGAAGCCGTAAGTATTTTAGGCGCATGTCTCACAAACACACGGCTAATCCAATCAGATTTCCCTCTCGACAACATTCGCGCAAACCGCCGTTGGAAAGCCCATAGGCGAGTATGAGTACTCGCGCTCCTCGAACCCAAACCGGTACGCATGCGCGACACCATTCAGATATTCAAAACTAATGCGCCCGCAGAGACAACTTTGAAAAGGCAGTCGCAGCCCTCGAACACGCCCGCTATGCGCTCGCGTTCTCGTCCGGTTCCGCCACCACAGCCAACATCCTGCAATCGCTCGCCGCAGGCTCACACGTCGTGTCCGTCTCAGACGTCTACGGCGGAACGCACCGCTACTTCACCAAGGTCGCCCTGACGCACGATGTCAAAGTCACCTTCAGCCCGAGCATCGAGATCGACATCGCCGAGCTCATCCGCCCCAACACGAAGCTCATCTGGATTGAGTCGCCGTCGAACCCCACGCTGACGCTTGTGGACATCCGCAAGATCTCCACGATTGCGCATCAGCATGGCATCATGGTGGTTGTGGACAACACCTTCATGAGCCCGTACGTTCAGAACCCGCTGGACCACGGCGCGGATATCGTGGTGCACTCCGTCACAAAGTACATCAACGGCCACTCTGACGTCGTCATGGGCGCCGCGGCCTTCAACTCCGACGAGCTGTATGAGCGTCTGTCTTTCCTGCAGAACGCCATCGGTGCCGTTCCCTCGGCCTTCGACTGCTGGCTCGCACACCGCGGTCTCAAGACCCTGCATCTCCGCGCGAGGGAAGCAACCAAGAACGCTACGGGCGTCGCAAAGGCTCTCGAGGCCTCATCACACGTCGTTTCCGTCAACTACCCCGGTCTTCCCTCCCACCCACAACACCACATTGCGCTGAAGCAGCACCGTGACGGAATGGGTGGCGGCATGCTTTCCTTCCGTATCCAGGGCGGTCACGCAGCTGCAGAGCGTTTCTGCCAAGCGACCAAGATCTTCACACTGGCTGAGTCGCTGGGTGGAGTTGAATCGCTCGTCGAGGTACCCAGCGCCATGACACACGGCGGTATCCCCAAGGAGCAGCGCGAGGCAGCCGGCGTCTTTGACGATCTCGTCCGCATCAGCTGTGGTGTTGAGGATGAGGCGGATCTTGTTGCCGATGTTAAGCGTGCGCTTGAGGAGGCCGTTGTTGGTCCTAAGATCACGAACGGAAAGGTCTCCAACAATGCTGCGCCGACTGCTCAGTAAATCTTGCTCGAGTGCCGTGAGTGTGTACCGGGTGGAGAAAAGTAGCTTTTATGAGCACATATGGATAGATGGCGTTTTTATTCGGTATGGGCTTATGACCCTTATGATGGATATGATATCAGAGATAATCTCAATCGAAAGGTGTTGTGTCGTAGTAAGACACGGAATTATCGAGGTTGTCTGTCTTTGTACATTTGCACTTTCTACACATGACTCAAATGAGAGTCACTTTCCAAATGCGAAGTGCGCAAGCCGTGATTGGTTTGTCGCCCGCCCATGGTTACCACAGAGCCAGGGTAAGGGAACCAAAGTATGGCTGCGGCCAAGTGGTGAGTCATCTTCTTGTTTGCGCGCTCGTCTCGTAATGATCCGATTGCAATAACTTTAATAGTACTTTGGGTGGTTAGGTAGGCGATGACTATAATTTGCTAACAAATTCTGAGCTGGTTCGTCTCTATGTACATCCACGGTACGGCGATGAGTCTTTGAAACAAAGGTGGTGAGTCAAAGGAGAGTATATATTGTAATTGATGTCCATCTCAATTGTTTGCCCAACAGTCAATCCCAGCTCATCCGAATTGACCGTAACAGCAAGTATCAGTACTCTCAAAGTCATGTTTCCTCCCCCAATCTCACTTGAAGAAGTGCGCTGCCTGTTCCAGCAGCTTTTGGCAAGCAACCACGACAACCCCAATTCTCACGCACACCCCGTATTCATTTCCTTCGATATCGCACACGGAAACCCCAAGCGCTTCAGCGCTATCGGCGCATCCACACTCGACACGAGGAGTCTCACAACTTCACACTTCTCAACACCGATGGACCATACTCACCCGCCCCTCCACACAGAGACTTTCGACTTCCGGTACGGCCGAGTAGGCGTAAATAGAAAGCAATTGCAGGCCTTGTTCCATGGCCAAGTGCACGATGTGCGATGGAGCGAGCGCGCTGCCGTCCTCAACCACATCTTTTCTCACTACGTCAATGGAGATAGGGAGCCGTGCTGTAATGCGCGCAAGCTACCTTTGTATGACTTATCGAAAGTCAATGACTCAAACGAACAGCGACTGCCGATTATTCTTGTTGGCCACGACATCCCTTCGGATCTTCTCTCGTTGAACAAGGCGGGTATCAGCATAACTGACATAGCCACCGTGACCGCGATCATCGACACGCAGAAGCTTGCTCGCGAGATGTACAAGGCTGACGATCCTGGATGGAATGTATCGCTTCAAAAGCTATGTCGCCTGGTCGGTATGATACCTACAAAGTTGCACGATTGCGGGAACGATGCTGCGTGGACGCTACTTGTGCTTTTCAGTCTCGCTGCGAAGCTGATTAGCGAGGATGACGAAGGGAGAGAAATACTAGAGGAGGTTGTAAGAGAAGGTACACGCGATAGTAAGACGAGGAAGCAAAGGGACAAGGGAAGTAGAGTGAGGAATAAAGAAGATCAGGTGGACGACTGGGCAGACAATCTCGTTGTTGAAGTTCCTTGAGTTGCACTGCGCAGCAAGCTTACTGCAGATGCAGTCTGGGACCTGGAGAGACTCTTATGCGTGAAGTTTTGCTCAAGTTTGGTGTCTATACTGTTGCTGCACGTGGGTGTGGTGTTTCCATTCGGGGTCACCTCTCTAAAGCTGGGGTCTGTGGGTACCGTGAAAGTGGCTTCCTTTCTCCAGAGAGCGCTTTCCTTTCTTCACAGGCGAGTTCGCCACACAGTCAGCGACTTCTTCATGCGGATACAACCAAATCATAGGCCGAAGCATCCAGGATGCCAGCGATCTACTTACTCATCTACATGTAAGATACATAATGCTCAGTGTTCTCCAATCTCTCACCAATGGTACAACTGGCGTGTGTTGCGGTCACCATTAGACCGTGCACCAGAAGGACAGCAGAATATTGTCTAGGTAGGAGCTATTTACTTGTAAAGTTCGAAAAGCATGTACGCAGCAAATGCGACACGAACTATAGAAACCTTAGGCGGCTCGTTTTATTCGGTATTATCGCAATACTGTTTAGACCACTTGAGAAACGCTCCGGATGCGGAGGTGCTAAACAAAGGAGGAGGGCTTCGAAGGCTAGTCCAACGCGAGTGAAGGACCCGGTGCCAAGGAGCCGCCAAGATAGCTTAACCGCCAACGTCTTCGCACGGCTCGTTAGCGTAAGAGACATGCACGTGCATAATCACTGTGCCACCCAACTCACTATATGCATTCTTCCGTTTGTAGCCTGATCCTCCTTTGATATTTTCCCGTCATGACGTTCCCTCTCCATCTCTCCGATACTGCAGCACTCTCAACTCCATCTCGCCATTACCCTCCTGCCATCCATGCTTGGCATCAGCATGCAGATTGCCTTACTCCTCGCCGCCTGCATGGGAGCTGCCAACGCTGCCCGCGGCGCGATGGAGCTGGATCTTATCTTCCCTCGTAATGAGACCTATGCTCCTACAGAAATCTTTCCAGTCATAATCGCTATCCAGAATACCGAGCTAGCGCCATTCCTGAATCCGCAGATGACCATCGAATTCCTCGACCTGGATAGCCAGGTCCACAGCTACCCCACCTTTTATGACCTGAGATGGGCCAACTACTCCAGCAGCGACCCTTATCGAGAGCTGAAAGTCTTCACCAGCTTCAACAAAGAGGGCAGGTGGAGGATCGCATGGCAAGTGAGATGGAATACCTGTACCGAGGACTCTCTTGCCTTCCTCGGCGATGGTATCACCGGCAATGGGACGAGTCGCATCACAATGTTTACTATCAACAATTCAGGAAAAGTCGTGGATCCTGTGCCCGCTACGACGAATCAAAATTGCACAAACAGCGAAGCGATTGTTATCAACGTAGACGATACTCTGGCGGTCCCTGATTTCATCACCTGGGAGGATTATGATGGAAAGACTTGTGCATCTATGGCATCCACCACTCCAGCTCCAACTCCTTGCCAGGTCAAGTTCGACTCAGCCGCAGCTGCCGATATTTTCTCGTCTATGACTTCTCTTCACTGCAAGCAGACGCGAGAGCCTGGGTCTTCTTGCCCCACTGATGACAAGAGTGCGGCTGAGCAGCTGGTCGGTGTAGGATTGGTGGGCTTAGCGGCCACATTTGGGGCTTTAGGTTACCTGATAGTATGAGGACGTACATCATTTTCGGCCACCGACGGTCACCGACGGCGTTCATCAATCAGCATCGACCTTCAGGGCATATATAAGCCACACAATGCTTTTCAAGCTTTTCTCCACTGTGCAATGCAATCATCGCCACCTAGATCAATCGTTCTGACCCTCGGCACTGCCAGCCTATCAGAGTGTCGGTATTAGGGCTGTGTGGAGAGCAGGGGGCGATCGAGTATTCACTACAGGCAGAACAATACTGCATCCTTCTTTTGCTTCGAAACCCCGAAGGTCTAGGCTTGGGCGTTCCAGCCGCTATGTTGCGCCACCACGGTGATTTCATTAAGGTGCAGCGCAGCATCGAGACTCGACACGAGACGTCTTACGAATTTGACATCACCAACATCGACGCCTTATGATTATCTATCTTCCTACGCTGAGACGCAGAACTTCTAGTATGGCTGAGCAGGCTTGAAGAGAAAGCAATTGCGGGTATCAGCATGACCGACATGGCCACCGTGACGGTTATCGTCGATATACGAAGGCTTGTCCGCAAGATCTAGATGGCAGATGACCGCAGGGACGATGCTGCGTGGACAGTCCTGCTTTTCAGCCTCGCTGCGAAGCTACCTGGGTACTGAGTGAGGAAGATGAAGGGAGAGAAATACTAGAGGAGATCGCAAGAGAAGGGGTACGCACTAGCAACACAAAGAAGCGGATGGAGAAAGAGAGTACAGTGGAGATGGATGAGCACGGGGGCTGGGCGGAGAACCTCGTTGGGGAATTTCTTGAGGCCATATGAACATTACACAATTATCAATTATCGGTCAACACATATTCATGTCTGTCGTCTACTTCGCTAGCTAACCATGTACATGGATGTGAATGTCGCGACATCCCTTCACACACCAACGCATACGTTGGTCTCTGCCCACATGCTTTGACAGTTCGATCCCACACCAGTATTCCACTTGACGAAGTTGGCCAAGGTGATCTTCTGGTAGCTGATAATCTGCTGGCAAGTGACCCCCTTAGCAACGTAGTGGAACTTTTTACAGTTCGTGACCATGCCGGGCTGGGTGGGTTGAGGGGTCTGGATGCCGTTACCAGCAGAGGTCGTAGTGGTGGGTTTCTGGGTAGTGGTAGTGGCGGGTGTACCGCCGATGACACCTACGCAGACATTCACACCGGCTTGCATGGCACGGCAGTCACTGCCAACGGTAGGGTTCCATCTCACAAAGTCAGCAAGACTGATCTTTTGGTAACTTGTGATCTGGCCGCACGTCACCCCTGATGCCACGTAGTGAAACTTGTTGCAGTTGGTGACCATGCCAGGTTGGGTCGGCTGGGGTGTCTGAATGCCGTTTCCCACGGATGTTGTGGTAGACGGCTTGACAGTGGTGGTAGTAGGAGGGGTTCCGCCGATAACACCGACACAAACGTTGACGTCAGCCCACAAGCCGGAGCAGTCATCGTTGACGGTGGGATTCCATCTCGCAAAATCAGCAAGACTAATCTTCTGGTAGCTCAAAATCTGACCGCAGACCACGCCCGGCGCTACATAGTGAAACTTGTTGCAGTTGGTGACCATTCCAGGTTGCGTCGGCATGGGAGTGGCAACACCATTGCCAGCCGTAGTGGTGCTACTGACCCAAGTGGTTGTGATAGGAGCACTCGTGCTCGGGGAAGAAGTGACAGTTGTGGAAGGGATAGTGGAGGTCGTTGCCGGCGTGGTCGTTGAAGACGCTGTGGTAGACGCGGAAGTCGTAGTTGCAATTGGATCGTCAGTGACGTCGCCGACTACGCAGTACTCGTTGTTGGAGTCGAGATTGGGGCAAATGATGCCGGGATTCAACTGCTCGAGCTCGTCGATAGATAAAGCCCAGCTAGCTGCAAAGCTTTCACAGGTCGCACCGTCATCGGCTGTAGTGGAGAATGCACAATCAACAGCTCGGCGGTGAAGAGCGGGCCTTGCTAACGCCGTTTCCGCAAGAAGATATGCGGCGAATACGTGTTGCAACTGCATACTAGTGGGACTTTGCATGTTCTCCACGTTAAGGAGGAAGAAATCTGTCGGAATAAGTGTAGTGAAAGAGGTCCGTTGTCTTCACGGCAAGATGCAGACTCTATCAAGCTCCAAGCCATGCCTCTATAAGTACTCCTCATTGAACTCTCTTGTCCTCTTGCTTATCTGTCCGTTTTCTAGCGTAGGAAGTGCCAGGCATTAGGTACCTGGCCGCGGCCTGGATCATCATTACGAGAGAGCATCTCACTACGCTGATGGAGGGAAGGCAACAATCCCATCTGCGAGAAGAGACCCTGCCAATTCTCACATGTGGCACAGCCCTCAAAGCGCTTCAGGAACGGACTATGAGCGGAGAGGTCAAGAAGGAGAAGGTCGCTTCGGGTACGACGGAATAGCATACAGATGCGCCGGTGCCAAGCCGGTATAGGAGCCGATGCACAAGGCAATTCAGCCGCAAGCGCTACGGCAACGCCGCTCTATTGGCCACCAAACGCTATCGAACAGGGCACCTCACAGCGTCATTTCAATCCTTCACGTTGATCTGAATCCTCCTCTCCATGTTTTCCCGTACAGACCTTTCTTCACAATGTCACCAATATCGAAGCGCTCCTTGCCCCACATCGGCAACTGACTTTTGCCGTTCATGTCAACGTGCGCGCCGCTTTGCCTCCCGTCTCTTGCGCGAGTCCAAATCAAGATAATCTTGCGGATTTGAAGACTCGTAAGTCGCGGGCCCTGGCAGACCAAGACGACATTACTGCAGGGTCTCATAAGCTCTAGCGCTTCGCGGCAGCAGCCGGTGCCCGCAACCCTCTTCTCTTACTAGACGGCCGGGCGGCTGTCACGGCATCTACCCCCGCCATAGAGTACGCTCTTTGTACCTGCCTATATGTTCCTGCCCCTGACGAGCTGGATTTAGTTCCTTGCAGAACCTAGACTATTTTACCCGCTCGCGCGATTCTTATTTTACTAGGCATAAAGCTTTCTTCGCGTTGTTACCGTGTTACCATCAAGCGCAAATCCTTCCAATACAACATTCGCTCCACTGAACAAGTTTCTTCCATTACGTTGTGGCTTCTCAACTTCACGGAGCTATCCATCCTTACGCTACGATTCCTACTTCACTATCATTTTCCCGGCAACCTTCCGGCCGTCTCTCGCCCCCAGAATGCGGCTTCTTACCTGGGTCACCTGGTTATCAATTTCCTTGCTTGGAGCTGTTGATGCGGCTGCCAGCGATACCTCAGGTGTCGTAGAAGTGGACCTGGTCTTTCCGCGCAACGACACATATGCACCAGCGCCATATGTGCCCATCGTCTTTGCTGTTCAAAACCCCGAACTCGCATCATCGCTTAGTTTGCGGCTCGGATTCGAAGTCTGGAATATGACAAACGGCTCAAAGGTTGACGAGGGAAGCTTCGGCGACTACTATGAGAGTAGTTCCCTCAACTGGACAAACACGTCTAGCTCCGACCCGGAGCTCGTATATCGCCACTACACCGAGTTCAACACGGAGGGCAAATGGAGCTTAGTCTGGAACCTGATCTGGTCTAATTGCACATATGATCCTCTTCGGGAGATATATTATCAAAAGGGCCAATCGCAAACCTCAGGCATCACATTTACTACGAAGAAGACTGCGCAGGGTATTGATCTTGTCGACGCAACAAAGAACCAGAGTTGCTCTGAAAATCAGGGAATAGCTTTCAATGTTGTGGATACTACGAAAGTTACCGGAGGCTCCTACGGCGTGGGCGAACAGTGTGCAGTCTTGGACAATTCAACCGTCACTCCCACTCCCTGCCGAGTCAATATCGATTCTACCGCTGCTTCAAGCATTACAGCGGCATTGACGGCAAGCCTCTGCTCTGATGAGTATAGAATGTGGGTTGAGGCTGGAAGGGCTCAAGAGCCAGAGATCAGTTGCCCTGCAGATGAGAGTGCCGCCCAGCAACTCCTTGTTGGGGGTATAACATGTTTGATAGCTGCGATTGGAGCATTGAGCTACCTTCTCGCATGAGCTGCTCCCTTGTTTGATGAGTTGATTGAAACGAACTCATGCTTTCTTCCATAGTGGAGGACCGCGCAAGTATCGTACCTCCTAGATCAATACAAAGCTGAACTTGATCCATCATTCTCGCCTGATTAGAGTTGTGTTTGCCATATCCATTGTAAAAGATTCTATAGTCAACGATTCGTGCGAATAACGCATCGAACCGGTAGAGATCGATCCCCTACCCTGCCAACGTGTAGATTGACTCGTTTCGATGGCCCAATATTTCTAAGGAGTTTCTTTGCGCTTTAGGCAGAATCAAAGCATCCTACAGATCCTTCGTGCCTTCAACGTAGAAACCCAGCGCTTAGACGACACGGAGACCCACGTTCCAGACTAAGCTCCGCTTAGCAGGTCATATTTGCCGGAAGGATGATCATCGCTCTTCATATCGGTAAGAAGTATCGGGAAGGTGCTTTCTCAAATTTTGAGCTGCCAAGATGGGTGGGATTGCCGGGATCCGTCTCGTAGTTCTCGGACTTAGCCCACTCTCTCAACATGAGAGGATGAAAGAGTAAAAACGCTTCGAAGAGGGCATAAATAAAACGCTCACAGCGCTTTCATTCTAATCATTATCGCCAAACACGACTCATCTTACTTCCCTATCAATTGCGGACCACAAACTACTCTTCCAAACTTCTTCCAAAGCGCCGCACCACGATGATCGCCTTTCCATGGCTTACCGCATCATTCGGGGCCTTATTTGTTTCCTGTTTTACATATGAGGTTGTGGCGGTACCAAGCGACCCCTGTCCGGAACGATGCAGTGTTTCTGGACCCAATTCAGGAAACTGGTCTGTCTATCCAGACTTTAGACAGATCAAGTCCTGCCCAGAAACTGTTTTCTATGACTTCTCTCTCTACAGCGATGTCGACAATCAAGCAGAGACTCACCGCATTCATGCTTGCTCGTCGTTTGGCCCAGACTTCTCAACGCTTCCACCAGAAACCTCAATGGCCAAGGTTGGCCCCATTAAGCCTTCGAGTGTTCACTTTGAGCTCGGATAGTGGGAGGAAGACTTCGGGTTTGCAGCTTCAAGTGTGCGTTCTGTACTCAGGCAGATGCGTCAGTACCTTGATCACGGACATGGTACTACAGAACGACCCCTGATCATGTTCGGACAATCGGGGCAAGGGATCGTCGGCCTCTACATCGGAGAGAACCTCCTCAACCAAGGCATGTCATCTGCCTTGCGGATCTTCGAAGACAGTCTCGCGAATCCCAACGTGTCGGCCCCCAGCAGTGGTATGCAGCTTTGCGGACCTGAGTATGACAGTGCAGACATATTCGGCATCATGGTCACCAGCAATGCGACCTTTACCCCTAGTCAAAACGCAATCAAGACATGGGCCAACGCAACATGCCTGCCATTCTCGGAGTCTTCCAGACTTTCCGGTCAGGCGACGTTTGTGATGCCGCTCTTGGCCATGAATGGCACCGCCAACGCAACGATGCACAACAACGCGACGCGTCCGCAAACACAAAAACGACACTCTCGGCATATTGCGTACCACACCAATCGAAGCACACTAAACTCACGTGCTGAGTGCAAGGTTGTTCAGGTCGAGTCCGGGGACAGTTGTGCGGCATTGGCTGCCAAGTGTGGCATATCGCCTACCGACTTCACCAAGCACAACTCTGCGCCAAGCTTTTGCGCCAAGTTGAAGCCTAAGCAACGTGTTTGCTGCTCTAGTGGAAGCCTGCCGGACTTTAGTCCTAAGCCCAACACGGATGGCTCGTGTCATGCGTACCAAGTCAAGACGAACGACAACTGCGACAACCTTGCTGCCGAATACAGTCTCACGAGGCAAGACCTTGAAGACTTCAACAAGAAGACCTGGGGCTGGAATGGCTGCAAACTTTTGTTTATCGATACGATTATGTGTCTCAGCACAGGCACGCCACCGTTCCCTGCCCCAATCGCTAATGCGGTATGTGGACCACAGAAGCCAGGATCGAAGCCTCCGACTACTAGCACAAAGATCGCTGATCTTAATCCCTGTCCTCTGAATGCCTGTTGCAACATCTGGGGTCAATGCGGTATCACCAAAGAGTTCTGCGTCGATACGAACACTGGAGCCCCCGGAACCGCTAAACCCGGAACTTACGGTTGCATATCGAATTGTGGTACCGACATTGTCAGAGGCAATGGAAACGGTGGGATCAAGATTGCCTACTTCGAGGGTTACGGCATGACACGAGAGTGCCTGTTTCAAGATGCGTCCCAGATTGACACGTCGCAATACACGCACGTCCACTTCGCCTTTGGCACCTTGACTTCCAACTTCGAGGTAGAAGTCGGTGATAAGCTATCCACGTATAACTTTGGTGAATTCAAACGCATCAAGGGAGCAAAAAAGATTCTTTCTTTTGGTGGCTGGGCCTTCTCGACTGAGCCTGCGACATATTCGATATTTCGCGATGGTGTCACATCTGCTAATCGCATGAAGATGGCTGTCAACATTGCACTCTTCATCGAGATGCATGACCTCGATGGTGTCGACATCGACTGGGAGTACCCAGGAGCCCCAGACATCCCCGGTATACCCCCTGCTAGCAAGGCAGACGGCCCTAACTACTTGGCCTTTCTTGCCGTGCTAAGAAATCTTCTCCCTTCATCCAAGACGGTTTCCATCTGTGCGCCTTCTTCGTACTGGTACCTGAAACAATATCCCATTGAGAGCATCGGCAGAGTCGTGGACTACATTGTCTACATGACGTATGACCTTCATGGTCAATGGGATGCAGGTAATGCACATTCGCAAGAGGGATGCGACTCAGGCAACTGCCTACGTAGTCAGGTGAATTTGACAGAGACGAAACAATCTCTAGCCATGATTACCAAGGCTGGTGTTCCGGGCAACAAGGTCATTGTTGGTGTCACTAGTTATGGGCGATCTTTCAACATGGCTGAAGCGGGATGTTGGGGCGCCGATTGCTTGTACACTGGTAGCCAAATGAACTCAGACGCCACCAAGGGGAAGTGCACCAACTCAGCCGGGTACATCGCCGACGCTGAGATCGCTGAGATAATCGAAGGCCAGAAAAGAGCGGGCCGAGTTGTCCAGCAATTTCTGGACACCAGCAGCAACAGCGATGTTCTGGTCTACGACGACACCCAATGGGTTAGCTATATGAGTAGCAAGACGAAGCAGACCCGATCAACCCTGTACTCAGCTTGGGGATTAGGCGGTACGACTGACTGGGCTACTGACCTGCAAACATTCAACGATGTCCCGAAACCGGCAAAGAGCTGGGCAGATTTCAAGCTCAAGGTCAAATCTGGAGAAAGCCCCTACTCTGATGACTCCCGGAACGGTGACTGGACTACACACGATTGCACGGACAAATATATTGAGTATCCATTCGACTACCCACACACTGAACGTTGGAAGGGACTAGATACAGACGGTGCCTGGAAAGACATCGTCAGAATTTGGAGAGACAACGACGTAGACAGGGACGAGAACGGCATCGGCAGCTTCACGTTTTCGAACTCCATTACCAACACCCTGAAAATCTCAACAATGGAATGCGGAGATATTTCGTTGAGTTCCAATTGCGCGTCAACCGGAGGCGATTCGTGCCCCAAGGGTCTGGATGGTCCACTTTCAGGGGCCGCGGGGTCTCTCATCTTCGAATCAATCCTCACGATTCACAACATGTACATGGACTATAAAGACGCTATCCTTGATGTTGCATCAACCATGAGTTTTAGCATGGGTAAACTTATGGTAAGCGAAGCATGGTACGAGCATTTTCATGAACAAAAGCTAATCGCAAAGCAGAACACTTTTGCGCCCATAAAGAAAGAGGACGACACTATACTTTTGCTTTTAATCGATCTGGTCACTCTTGGAACTCTGTCGATTGCTGGGCCCTTCTTCAACAACATCATCAAGAACATACCCTACTTCAAGGGTGGTTCTGCTTTCGACAACGCCAAGGATACCACCATGAACTTGATCGGACAGAGCACGACTATCGCCAAAGATGTGAAACCCTCAAAACCGGATGAATGGAACGAAGACGGTCAGAACGCCTTTGCGGATGCCCTGGCCCGAATGTTCAAAGCCTGGGCCGATGTAGCTAAGGAATCTCTGAAAACTCTCTTCAACGGCTCAGATCCTTCCATTGCTATGCTCTGGGATACCATGTCTGATGGAAAGCTTATCACGGGTAGACCGCCGAAGTCGGATGATCAATCAGGGCCGCGGCAGAACGCTAGCAAGCCCGCGCTGAGAGACAGCATTGAGAAATCTGTCTTCGCATTCGCTATTCCCGCGCTGTGGAGGAACTCCAATAGATACGCCTTCGTGATGGACTCCGGCTACGGTTGCGGTGATGACAAGGCGCTCAGCGACTACCTCAGCGACGACACTATGAGAGCAACAGGCGCCTGCATCGACGGAAAACAGTATTATCTGGTCCACCCAGATGGAGATGCCTCGAAGCAGGGATGCGTTTTTGACAAGCCGAACCCAAATCAATGCGATGTTAAGACTATAAACAACAAATTCTCGACGCCACCAGGGCTTGGCTCACTGGATGGAGCCGCATTTGGAAGAGTTACCAAGGAAGACTTGATCAAGGGCTCTGTCCGCACCTACGTCTACAACGGCAAGAAGAACGTTATCAAGGGTCCAAACGTGGACGACAAAAGTGTCCAAAATAACCTATTGGACGGCGACATTACGGCTCCTGGCTTCATACAACTTCCCGTGTGCAGTCCTGAACGCGCGTTTCAATCCTGGGATTCTTCCAGCAAGGGATCCAGTACATTCTACCCCTGCGACCTTCCACCAGGCAAGGACCATTGCGGCGAGACGACGTTTGAGAACCAAGGCAGCGACGCATCCCCCAAGGTCGAGGACTGCCGCCAGATTATCAAGAACATCCAGGGTGACGGCAACACTGAGTGGACAGTCCAGACCGCCGGCTTGAGGCAGCGCGCGATTGCCAAGGCAAGTGGTTGTTCTTTCGGCGTTGAAGCTACCAATCTCAATGGCAACATTGACTTCGAAGTCGGTGGTCAGGATGTCATAGACGTCATCAATGAAGCCATCCAGAAGTTCGGTGGGGGCGGCAGAATCGGTGCCAAGGGAGAGATGAAGTGCAGAGGCAACGTGGTCAAGCAGAATGTCAAGTGGGGTATTTACTAGACTGTGAGGTGGATTTCGTTTAGATAGACCATATGTACTAATAAGCAATCGCTGTCTACGCGAACAAAGAGCATTGAGTATGACAGCACCACCATATGACGACAAAACCTTTGTATTCAGACCTACGTATATATTCCGCTCTTTCCAGTTCATCTTACATCTTCTACGCGTCGCACAAACCGACAACCAACCACGAAGGCGCCCGAACAATTTACTTTACTTATTTTCCACCGAAGACAAACCCTTGAACAGGCGCTCATACTTCGTATGACATGAACGCAGGTTTATATGCCCAGCCGTTAAGTATATCCATCAGTTTCACACTTGTAAAGGTTAGATAGCTCGCACGACGAACCACGCGACTTCCAACCCCGGTCTACGGGTTGCTTCTCTTAGCTGAAGCCCGATGACGTCGAGCTTCAGAGACCTTGGCTGTACATCTCTTGCATAGATGGTTACATGTTGCAGCGAGGTTAATGCGTCGAGTTGCAAGGATCGGTGGTTGTTGGCAGGAAACTCAGCGCGCATCTCAACATACGCCGCAAGCTCTTCGTCAATACCGATAGACTTGACTGCATTGAGTTTTTCCGGAGCAAGAGTGCTGATGAATTTATCAAATGAGCTGCTGGATCTGAAGTGGAAGGTGTTGAGCGCAAAGTAGAGGACTGAGGCCTCGCTATGTACTTGACGACATGTTGAGAGAAGCGCTAAATGGCTCATTTCGCTGTTGCTAGAGGGGTAAGGATTAGGGTATCCCGTGTTCCCGATCAATTTCGGTGGAGGATCGAAGCATACAGTGCCTCGATGTAGAGTGAACTTGTAGATACGGTTCCGAAGCTCGGCAGTGAGCCAAAGAAGGGGCGAGGTCTCTTGATTGAGCTGAGTGCTAATATATAGTCAGCTATGGTCGAGATATAAGCAACTGGAGAGATCATACATGCAATCGTAGTCCGACATATTGTCCGTGATACTCTCGGCGACAGTTAGTCTTGGAACTGATAGCTGGACGTCTTGCTTCTAAAGCCTAAGTCCCACGTGACAAGGTATCCTCCACGGTGTTGAAGATTTCGTTTACAGCTAATTAAGATATAACGTCTTTGTATTGTATAGCTAAGTCCAATGTGTCGTACCAGTTTCCCGCAAACTGGATCGGTAGAGAGAATGCAAACCTGGAGGAAACTAGACCAGCCCGTATCGAAGGTAACTAGGTTATATATAGTGGGGTGGGGGATTGGAACTTCTGATTCAGTGACTAAGAGGAAGTGCTTTGTACGCAGGCAACACTCTTCATTCACTGATAGGTGCTCATTTTTGAGAGTGAAATACTATGATTACTAGAACCGGAGGAATGCGGCCCAAGGAACAATTCATTCCGACTAATCCTCAAAATCTCTCCAACGCGATACGAGATAACCATGTCTAAGCTTTATTCCCGTAAGGTGAAGTAGAGTTTATGGTTTCTATGGACAGCTCCCCATGTTCGTAGGTAGATGATATGTCGTGAAGTAGGTGTGAATGTTGACACGAGACACAGCATGATTTACCAGTATTGACTGCACCTGGAAGCCGTCCCCAGGCTTGGTACACCTCGCGTAATGCCACCCATTATGCTCATTCGCTGCTCCGCAGCCTAGAAAAACCTACAATCAGTACAGTATCATCAGGCAATTTGCTTTAGTTCGTAGACAACTGGAATGTATCTCATAGTTCGGTGCGTGCGGATTCGTCGCTGATAGGCAGGCTCAGTGTGGGATCGAGGGAAATGTGCGTATGCCCTCTGACTCATGAGATCACTGTCATCATGGATTATTTAGCATGGGAAGGGAAGGCGAGCGGGTTTGCTGCTAAAGTGTTAGCAGTGAATACCTTGAAGACGATTATAGATCACATCCTCTTCTCCGTCGTCTGCCAGCCCTTCCACGAGGACTTTATTCCAGATTGGGATGCTCGACTTCATGCTGGAACGTTCATTACTAGCTTGGGTGATAGGACACGAGCTACGTCCTCATATCAATCACACTGGAAGTTCACTTTCCCACACACACTTCTTCAATGCTCAATCCTGTCGTAGACCGTATATAGATCCAGTATGCAAGATGCGAAGCCAGCACCATCGTAATTTCTGCGACAGTTCAGCCCTCTCTTTGAGGACAACAAGCCGCGTCCCCCCACCCCTGACTTTCTGGTCTGTCTCAAAGCAGAATGTCCACAAACGCGCGTCTAGCAGCTCTCGAGGCTCTCGTCCGTGAGAAGCAAGAAAACATCAAAGAACTAAGCCACACGAACTGGCTACTCAGCAACCAAAACATCAAGATGCAAGAAGAACTCGCCAAGTTGGAAGAAAAGTTACACAACGAGTGTCCCGACTTGGATACCAGGCGTGCCAACCATTCAAGCTTTCAGGCCAATCCGTCGCCACCCCTTCATGATTCATCTGTCACTAGAGATGTCTCCCACGCCCGCCTACAGCTACTTCAGCGTCCACCACCAGGACCGTTGTGGACACCATTCTACATGACCGCCCGCGACGCTCCACGACTACACTTAGAGTTTGTAATACCAGGATCTAAAGGCGAGACATTGGGGATAGCTGTAAACAACGTAGATCTGGCCTTCATACTGCAGCAGACATTGCGACGGAGAGGGTGGGGCGAAGCGACGACGAAGAGGGGTGTCGAGGATTTCCTAGAGCAGCCGATGATGAAGGTAACGTGGACGGGCAGAGAGGGTGAATTTGGGAATCTAACCTAATCCCGCGAAGAGGTTGGGTTGTAATATATCTTGATATGAGAACTGGAGTCTATGAAGAAGGAGTATTTGGTATCTCAACGCCGACCCATGCATATTATAATCCCGATGTTCAATCGTCTTTGTGCTTTTCGTCAAAAGCGAGCATGAGGCCCATGGCCCGCTCGTATGTCCACATTGTAACAGCACTGGCTGGCGCAGCTTTCAGAAGACTGACGGTCAATCCGCGGTACATGCCTCGTCTGCCTTCATGCTTCCATATATGCGCAATGGTACTGATGACGCCGGTATATGTCGGTATGTTCCGGTGAACGTATCGCTCGCGCATTGGCCCTTGGACTTGTAGTCGCTTGCGCGTGGTATCGAGCGGGTAGACGGCGGTTTTGGAGAGAACGCTCGCGATGACACCGGCGACGGCATCTGAGCTTCCGAGTGGCAGTGGTATGGGAGAAGAGGCGGTTATAGGCTTCAAGCTTTCGTAGCTAGCGAAGAAGAGGCCCATGTACGGCACAATCTGGCTCACGCCTGCGCCGAGACCGCGAAAGAAGCCTCTGGGTCCTTCATGCTGCGCGATGTGCTTGACAGACGCGATGATGGAGGTATAGACGCGATCTTTGCCTTGGGCAGCGAACCGCGTGCGAAGAAGATCGAGCGGGTATGTCGCCGTCGTCGCAGCGGCACCCGCGCTGGCTCCACTGAGGAAATTGGCGACTGAGCTGGGAAGCGTATATGGCAGCGGAATGGTCTCTAGCCAATGCGATATGTACGTGTAGGCAGAGAACTGGGCGCTACCGTACGTCAAGTACATGAGCTCCGCCGGTATGTTGCCCTTCCATAGCCCCGTGACACCCTCTTCGCGAAGAATCTGTTTGAGGGTGCCCACTGTTCCTTTGTAGACGGGCCCTTGGACATTGCGCACGCTGAACGGGTCGGAGAGCGAGTGGATTTGGAGTTGCAGGCGGATCTTTATGACGTCGAGGGGAGCGATCACGAAGCTGTCGCAATGTCAGCCATGTGCGCAAACATGGGAGATTGAACATACCGCGACACCAGGCCTGCCACCGCACCTGCGACGACGACCTGTCGCTGGGAGCCCTATCAGTCATATCAGCTCTGCCTCTGCCAGCATATCGCTTCGGTAAACGGTGAAGATAGACAAGCTCCTACCTCATGCTTCAGCTGTGCGACACCCTCAGACATGCGCCCAGCGCGTCGATTGAGACACGTGCTATGTTCGCGCGCGTAATTAGCTACCCACTGCCGATGCTCGGTAGGACACCTGTAATTGCAAACGTGCCGGGCAAAGGGTAGTAGAGACCTCGGTTTACGGGTTGATTGTTTCCACCACGCTCGCTCCCTGACGTTGAAAAGCAAGGAACCCCGCCGTGTCCCGTCACTGCCAACAGCTGCGGCCGACCATGTCTTTCACCATCACCACCAGAATACCGCTACGGAGTCTGAGATCGCAAGTCACTACTTCCCGCAGGACTACGCTTGCTGTTCAGAGACGGCGTTTCTTCTTCAACTCGTTCTGGCGATCACCTAAGCCGGCCGAGCATGCTGATTGGAGCCCCGCTACACATGGCCCTTTTCGGCCAACCAAACGCCAGGAACAGCTGCAACAGCAACAGGAGCAAGAGCTGAGGCATTCAAAAGAGCAGGAACTTCTCGTTCATGATGAATCCAACGTTGGTCAGCTTGACGGTAGCCCAGCGAAGAGAATCGCGGTGAACATCGATGGAGAGCCCAAGATCTTCGACGCTGCGTTCCTTCGCGACAGCTGCACGTGTACGAAATGCATGGACCCTGACAGCAAAAACAAGCGCTTCCAGACGTCAGATATACCCGAAGATCTAGAAGGTAGCTGCAAGACAGTAGTGGATGAAGAGAAGGGAGTCTCTATCGAGCTTCAATGGAAGACAGACGTCAAAGGCTTCGATCCGGAGCACCGCACACGGCACTCTATCGACTGGCTACGCCGCGCATTCAACACAGAGATTGAGCTACGTGGCGGAGTGCGACACGACGACAGAGTGTTCTGGGACAAGAACAGGATCGTAAAAGATAACAAGTGGCTCGACTACGACACCTACATGTCCCAAGACGAAACCCTCTTCGAAGCCCTCACACACCTGAACCGCTACGGCCTCCTATTCGTCAAGAACGTGCCCGAATCCGAGGAATCCGTCGTAGCTCTCGCCTCCCGTATCGGTACCCTCAAAGACACTTTCTATGGCCGAACATGGAACGTC